AAATATTTTATGGTTTTTTACTTGTACCAAAAAAGTATCACCACCCTATGTTTTTGAAGATAAACGTTGTTATAAAAGAATCCCTATATTCTATAAAAATAAAGTGCATTTTGTTGACACACTTTCAAGACGAACATATTTTTGGGATACCGCAGTCCCATGTGGATCAAAAATAGCCCCAATGTAGTACAATTGAATCCTGATGAAGATAAATACTATCTCCTTACTCCATACCCTACGTTAATGCAATCACTCAAAAAAAAATTTTTCACCCGAAAGCATCAGAGCTATTGCTCGTAACCCAAATATTGATTTACAATCAATTGGAAAATATTCTAAATCAGATATCCAACACCACATTAGAACACATTAATTCCAAGAATTATTAACACAAATGGACACTAAACAAAGACATCCAATTGATCAAAATTTAAAAAAACTTGCCGAAACCGCAGGATTTGCAGATATTTATACACACAAGGTGAAAAATACAGACAACAAGATATTTCACCTATAAATATTTTTTTTAAGTTTTGTCACCCTTAAAAACGAAATTCTAGATTTTCTAGGATGGCCCTATTACATCTTAGAAAAATTAACTTTCCTATACGCAATGTTTAACTTTATAGGATTTCTTTTCTCACTCTTAAAAGGAATCTATAACACATGCGCTATACACACACAAGTAAATAGACAAGCAAGTGTAGCACGCATACTGTTTGCAGGATTTTTTGGAATTTTTTCATCATCAATAAACAAAATACTTCTAGACGCACAAATAAAAGAATATAACACAAAAATAGCGACAAGACAGAACACTTATGACGAAGAACATAATAATATAGAAGTAACACCAACCGCACCACAGTTGCCACCCCTACCACAAAACCATCCATTATCATTAGTTCCCGTAATTTTCGAAACCTAGCAATCACACATAATCCAAATTTTAGACCAAATACAACACAAAGTCCCATCCAACACATAATGACACATCATTCACAAGATTATAATACATACGAACAAATTATAGAACAACCCCATACCACCACTTTTAGTCTCAAAATAATCATTTTTTTAGCCCACGATGAGCCGACAATTTGGATCCCTACACCGCTCAAATTCCCACCCAGCCAACCTTCAAGCTCCAATCCCAATAATCCCACTTTTTGCTTTCCCACCACCCGATTTTCCAATTATTAATATATCATCAAGCACGAATTCGGATACTAACTCAGATTTTTCAGTTTTATACTCTATCTCACAACTCAATAACCCTAATATAGAAACCCCTGACGAATTTGCAGATTCCGAACCATCTCCATCAAATAAATTTCAGACCAACTCCTCAGTTTTTTCAAAACCCCCTTTTCAACCACTCCCGACAAATAATTCACTCCCATCCGTTTCCACTCCTTCTTATGCTTCGCAAGTGACCCCAACCTATTCCCCACTTCATTCAGACCGATCATATAATAATTCTCCAGATACCCCCCAAATTTCCCAGGAACTCGATAATTTTATTACCCTACAACAACAGTTAATACACCCTAACACCCTCACAATACATCAACTTTCATCCACAATAGAATCCTCAAACCCATCTACTCCTACACCCTCCTCAGCTTACACTGCATCATTAGCACAATCATCCACATCCACCGAAACACCTAGTAGCACTAATCGAGCTTATCGCACTTTTAAAAGAAAATTCCCGAATCATCCATTCCCGACCAAACCAGGAACAGCCTGCGATTATATTAATCACCCACAACACACCAACACGAAGGTTTTCTAGCAATCACCTTACCCTCATTTCCACAATATACATTAAATACACCAAACGACACTAATGACACACGAAGTTTCGTAGATGAACATGTTTTAATGCCCACACTTCATTGGACAGCTTATTATCATTTTACTAACCCCCTTTGCCTACCACTATCTACTACTCATGACGACATAGAAAAAAAGAACAAAAATATGTTATATAGAATCACCGCAACACTAACACCTAGACAATTTATTTATGTAGCATATAAAAAATTACTAAAAACATTCACTGCACCCCGAGCTAACGAATTTACAATAGAATATTACGATCATAATACCATCCGAACTAATCAAGACCAATTTTTAGATGAAGATTGCTTCGCTAACCCACAACTAACAGAAAAATTCTTCATCAAAACATCATATGTATTCACACTCAATATTTTTGATAGAAAATATGATCACATCATTTCTGAAGCACTAAATGATATTCAAGCTTACGAAAATTTCAAAGACAAATTTCAGTTATTTTCACTAACCTTTCACCTTCTTGCACCACATGAACGCGATTTGCACTGTTCCCACGATATTATGTTGCGCACTAAACAAACTCACACATATACATACTATCGTTTTATACAAAATCATTTTGATTTGCATACCCCATCAAGACAACCACACCATCGTTTTCAGTTTCTTAACTCAAAATACACATCACCCTTTTTCCTTAATTTCACTTGTTGCATCAAAGATACTAACCTCCACGACATCCTCCGCAATTATGACCCAGTAACACAAATGTATATATTTTGTCCCATCACGAAGACCTTTAACGCAGAAGAATCCAGACCCTTCCTTATCCCGCATGAATTTATCCAGCCTATAGAAATACCAATATTAGAATTCATTCACAATACTAAATATAACCATAAAATATATAACCTCATTCAAAACACACCTTACGAGTTTGCAGTAGGCACCGAAGAACTAAAAATCATTAATGCACTTCAATTACTTTGGCCACTGCTCCAAACTAAAAACATCATTCTCATACTAGCCAAATTACTAACAACATCAGATATGATACACGACATCTTCCCCCACGGCTTTTTCCCAGATGATTACCAGGTAAGTATAATTTAAAATACTCTTCACTAATAAATTTAAAATTAGTACTAACCATTTTCTATCAATGTTTGGTGTATATTTCTACTCTTCACACCACGATCATCTACAAAAAATACAGAAAAGAAAAATAAAAATACAAACTTGTTAAAATTCTTCTAAAATTTATTTATATCTTGCACTAAATAATGTAATAAAATTCATACCAAACGTAGCAAATTAATCTATAAATTATTTTCCCATGAAGCAGTAAAATTCAATACGATGAAAATTTATAACTTAAAATTTCCCTCAAATGCAGTAAAATTGAAAATCTATGTAATAAATTAATAAAATGAAAATGCAGTACTAACTTTTTGATATTTTCATTCACTCGCACAGGAATTCTATCCAAACTCGCACAGCTCGCCCACGAAGAATTGTTTAAATAATGATTTTAGGTTTCAAGTTTTCACACTCAACAACTCTAACACACGATAACAAGTTTCAAACTTTCCTTTAACCCGGTTGGAAAGGAATTGTATACTTAACCAAACTAACCAACAAAGCTTACTAAACACCACAAATCATAAAAAAACAGCATAGCTAAGAAAAGAAAACTAACGGTAACCAAACCGGATTAACATAGTTTAAAACTGGATAATTTATATTTTTGAAGACTATTATAAAGTCTAAGAAAGAAATAATAAAACACAAAAAAGTCGCAAGACAAACCCATACCAAAAACAGTTTGATTTTTGAAAAAAGGACACAACCAAAGTAACATAAGAAAGACCAACATAAACCCAACATAAAACGTTATCACATAACAGGACCTCTAAAAGAAACAGCACGAAATCATACTCCCACTCCTGGCCTAACCCACCAGAGAGGACGTCCCGAGCATGCTCTATAGCCGGCCTAACCCACCGCGCTACATTCACGCTTTGTGACCACACTTCTATTTTTAATAAGAGGTACTCAAGGGTGAGTAACTCTTCAAAATAACCGAACTAAAACGAAACGCTTTTGTGAAAACAACTAACTAAATTCATGATTAAAAAACCGAACTAATATGATTTTATAAAATGTAAATCATACTTTGCAGTATATAGATCAACACACAACAACAAAGACGAACATCCAAAGACTAGATGATCCCATCACACTCGAACAAAGAATGGCTAGTCACAACCGATATGCCGTCCACAATCACAACTCAAAGGATTTAGAGTACGACTTGACTTCGCAGAAAAGGACTTCATTGAACTAGACCAATGACCACCTCGATGTTCAAGTATACGTACAGATCCGAGTATCGAGGCATCCCTTCCACACACGATCTCCACGCCATTCCCAGACGAGGTTGAACAGAAAACAAGTTCTCTACAGAATACAGAAAAACCCGTCATAGCAAATCATTTTGAAATCAGATTGATTTCATTGGAGATAACAGTCGTTGTCACAAGACGACACAACGATTGTATGTCCCTAACTCCAGCGTCCTGGAACTTCCTTAACAAGAGGAACCGGACAAGAATATGATGTTCGCTAAATACCAACGTTCATCATCCATCCTCTGAATTGCAGAAAGATAATTCTAAAAAAACTCTGTAAAACCCGGATGGGTGGAACCTGATCTAAACTACATTTTATAATTGGATAAATTGGATATTTAACCACTGTAAAATTTTTAATATTAACCAATCATAATCCATCTAACTAACAACCCACTTAATTGTAAGTGCTGAAATTACTTGTAATTTCAGCACCAGAGAGATTTGAATTTAACTTAGAAATTAGTTGCCTCTCCAAGAGAACTTCAGCAGCCGCAATAAACCAGTATACCCTAGATCTATTGAGCCTAGCAGAGACTAGTTAAACACCCTGAGACTAGTAAGTATAAGAGTAGACTAGGATCGGTATTAGACTAAGAAGTTGAACGAATCTATCCGGCCGAAAATAAGATAGCGTGACGAGCAGACGGTGTTCCCTGTCCGAAATTACTCTATGAGTTAACCACATCGGTTCTAACTCAATTGAGTTTATATGTCTTTATGGTGATTTGGGAGAGCTCGGGAAATCAAATTGGTCGATCTAAAATATTTCTATAATTCTAGTACCGCCATACCGACGGCACTAGTCGAGACAGTGTGCCAGGTGGGCGCGGGAGTGCTGGTGGGGGTGCGAGTGGGGGCGGAGGGGGTCAGTTGGAGGATGGAGATCTGAGCAACAACGAGTACTACTGTTCAATCAGAGACGCCTCCGAAGACAGGTAGGAAAGACTTCATGAACATTTCATTTTTTCTTAACATTCAAAACGTGCAATTGTTTTTTGAAAAAAAAAACCGTTAATGCATAATACTTTTTGACGCAAAAACAACATAAAAAACTGGACAAAGTATAAAAAAATTTTCGTTATAATGTTTTTTTTACCAGTTGCACCCATAATTTACAATGCAAAACACAGACAGGCATTAGCGGCGAGCAAGATTTAAACTGACTGGCCTAAAGTTTGTAAACTAAAAGCTGCGAAACACCATATTCAATGTTTGCTCCTAGGAGTTTTTTATTAATATTTTTTAAAAAGTGAAGCCAGCAATAAAAAAATTTTCTTCAGGTTGAGAGACATTCCATATGAAATTATTTGAACTGTTTTTGTCTTATATGAACCATATGAAAATTTGTCTTGTTTTTTTTTGCTAGCATAAATTAGTTAGTGTTCATATATTATTAGTATTTGGAGAATTTGTGAATTTTCATATCATAATACATCCGGGAAACGTTTTTTTTTGCCATAGAGGCAACTTTTGACGCAAAACATTTTCTTATGTGAAATCTTTAGTTACCTTTGATAGTTTATGGCAGTTTCTGACAAATTTCCCACTACTTTCAGATGATGTCGCCAAACTTAATCGAAAAAGCCCAGTAAAACCAAATAAAAGCTTTGTTCAATAAATCTTATTTAATATGAAAATAACTACAGACTTTGCTCAAAAATATGACATGAATTGTCCATACCTGAGGTTGTATTCAACATCCAAATTTTGTACCGTTTTTTTTTGCCGTTTCATGTTTAAATTTTTGTAAATAAAAAAAAGTTTTAAAATTTTTTTTAAGAAATGCTGTATCCTAAAAAACAGCAAAAAAATACGTTCTATTTTTCTGTCATTTAAATTTTTACGAAGCTTCTCACTGTTTGTGACAGAAGTGAACTTTTTCTCAAAACATGATCCATGGAAAAAACAGTTTTATGCTAATTCCGACCATGCGACATCACAACAAAATCCTTTCTATTTTAGTAACGGTGTCAGCATAACAATTTTGAAATTTTTTAAATTCTTTCAAAACAATCAAAATTTAAATAATGTTCATAGCTGATTGACATATTTTTTGATTTTTTATTAGATCACTTTTCACCGGTACTTAATTGTGATAGTAATCCCAGAGGGTAGCTACTTGTTAGGCGGAATACCTTGTTATAGCTATCCTGAAGCAGTGGATGATTATGCTGTGATTTGATTTTTTTGTACTGAAAATTAATGAAAGGAAAATTTTGAATGTTTCGAAAGAACGTTTTTTTTAGCTCTGATAAATGATAGGCAAAGCAAGTTTGTTTTAAAAATTGCATGAAATACTTCATACATCTATAACCTAAAACAAATCAGCTGGACAAAGCACAAACCGCTCAAAATCCTGCGTATACTTGCCAAACAAAAAGCATACTAAAAAGTCGCAAAAAATTTTTCTATGTACTTTTTGTAGTCCAAACAAGAAAAAGAATTATGACATTAAGTTTTGTTTGAGTCGCAATGAGTCTCCTGACTTGATTTGAATCACCTCCAACTTGTTAGCTTTAAATCTTAGCATTTTCAGAAAGCCATAGGGGTCCTGATCTGTAGGCAAAATGTTGAAGCTTATAGTTTTTGTATTGGAATAAGTACTTGGAAGTGATTAATCGTCCGAAAGTGAGACCTTGATGAACATGTCTTTTGTTTTCTTTGGAGACGAACATGCTTTTAAAGATTTGGTTTCCAAACTTCCCGAAAACATTTGGTTCACAAAATTATTCAAAAAGCAATTACTTGATGAAAACATATAGTTTTTGTCAGACGCGTTACTTGATCAGCCAATCACAACTACTTGTAGAGAGTAAAAAGAGCAAGAGGCTGATTTTGATAAGCGTGATTACATTTGATTTCGAAAAGCTGAAAAGAAGTTTAATATTTCTGCGTTCATTTTTAAAATCAATCAACAAAAAACCGTTCTGATATATTTTCAGAAAACGACTCTTGTCCAAATTTTTTATAGGATTCGAAAAAAATAAAAAAGTTTAACTTCCTTTCTAAAATTTCAATCAACTTGAATTTCCGAGCTTTCCTAGACACTAAAATCACAAACAAAAACTTTGAGGAAATCATCTGATGCTTTATCTAAGTCTGTTTAAAAAAAAACAAGAAAAAAAATTAAAATAAAAGAATTATATAATCATTAAAACATTCGATAAAAACTAGGAAGATCACTGCGGAGGAGTGGACTATGTTGAAGATCAAACTAAGACCTGCAAGTAAATTGATTTAAAAAGATTATCTAAAATCAGATCACAAATAGGAAAAACGTTTAAAGCTAAATTATCATTAGCGAAATAACTACATTCTCTCTTTTTCCTCGGCGAAATGAGGAATCAGGTAATTGTTTGTGTGTTGTATAAAATCAGAGTAACTAACTAACTTATATATACAAAACCAGATTGGTATTGCTAGGTCAATGGTAAAAAAGCTTCAGCGGATTAAAATAAGGTTAATTTTTAGTATTATGACTTGGTTTCGATTGCAAGTAATTTAAATTAAACATAACGATAAGTTTTAGCGCTGAAAATTGTACACCAAATTCTGAATCAAATGAGCGCGGGTAGATATGATGAGGGTATGTTTAGAAATCTAAAAGCTTGATCTAAAAATTTTCAATTTCCTGATAGAACTCCTGATATTTCCGATTGAATTTGCCAATCTGATTGAGCTGACAAGTTACCAGCCGCTCCAAATGATGTCAACACCAAAACACCTGTTCAGAAACAGAAGTTGTTAAACCCGAAAACATTCCAATGGATCAACACTCGGTAACCGAAGAAATAACTGTTTAAGGAATTGTAGTTTCGTACAAAGAAATGTTGGTCGGATATCAATCAGATAAATCTCCTCTTTGTAGGTCTTTGTAGATCATCTTGTAACACTGTCTACCTTTATTTTTATTGCAGAAGATGTTTCAAAGATCTTTTAGATCACAGTGAATCGGCCTCAAAACTTATCGTTATTGACCAAGTAGCCGACACATCTGTTTCAATTGAAGATAACACAAAGTAGTGCAGCGCTACTCTAACCCAATTCGCCTCTACTATTACGCCGACTGCACATTCTCGGCCAGCAACAATTCCAACGAATACGCCCATCATCTCTTACCCAGAACACACTACAGACCAATTCGTGACCGAACCGCCAGTCGACATCGACACAGCCTCCAATTGATCTTGAGAGAGTTGTTGGCTGGTTTTAACATTTCAGCTCACTCAGTTAGGCAAAATAGAGACTGGGCAATCTGTCATCTGAGGCGTGTTTAAAAACTCAGGTTTAACGGTTAATTTGTGTTTCAAAAACATTTTGTCCGATTTGTGGAAGGTTAAAGCCTTCTGAAGATCGGAGTTGGATCTTTCCCTCCCTACGTCTTTATAGCTTAAACTTCCCACCGACCATTCCCAATTGCTAAGATTAGCAAAATCCGATAGAATACAAAACGATTCGTCGCAAGCGAAGTAGCCTGAGGAATTGCCCTTCTTTGGTTGGGAAGGTTACCTGCTGCTGGGGTTTCTTTGCGTCTTGATTTGCCTTTTCTGTTTGAGGGTGTCCTTTGGCCTGATCTCTGTCTGGGCTTTAGTCCTAGCTTGTAGTTGTCCTTTCTTTGGCTCAGCGGTTGGAGAACGCTCGATGAATGCTAGTGTTTCATTGTCCAGAGTTTTCTTTTTTAGTTGTTGTGGGACGACATTTTCGGGGATTTTCTCCTTGGGTTAATTCCAGAGGTTGAGAAAGATGTCTGACCTACTATAGTTGACTTTCTTTGGCATGAATGTATAAATATACTTGGATAAAATCTATTACAGTTTTAGTCGAGGTGAATTTATGGTAAAAGGAAGTTTCAAGAAACGGTTGATGCAAACAAAAAAGTAATGTTTTGTGCCACACAACAATTCTAACGCACATGGAGATTTTAAATCTACTTCTGCGTTTGGTTTTGAAAAATCTGGTAATTTCCCGACGGAGTTGCTTAAAATACGATTTTTAATAATCTTACCCCCCTTCGCACATTGGGTTAATTTCAAAGTATGGCAATAACTATGGTGTGAGGCGTCCAATTTTACTCTGGTTTGAAGTATTCTTCGAACAGTGTTCTTTCTGTTAATTTTACAATCTCTTGATTGATTTTTTCAAAAGCCATCGTTTGATTTTGATTCCTTGATTTTGATTCCTTTAGAAAACTAATTTTTTGTTCAAAAATGGTCTCAAAAGGCTTTTCAGTGTTGCAAGGTTGGGGCTGAATTTCAAATTTTCTTTGTAGAACCAAAAAATGAACGCACTTGCTTCAAACTTTTTGAAATGGGAATCTTCTTGATAGCAAAATTTTGTCAATTAAAAGAATTACTCCCGTACGGATAGTTTTTAAGCCAAACCATTCTCTTGTTTTGGCGTTCCTTGAGTCGAATTTTGTAAGTCAAACATCTCCGTGGGGATTTTTTAAATAGTTTGGTTGCTGCAGTATGTACAAGCTCGTGAATGTTGGAAAAAAAATTACATTTTTGGCATTCAACGACGATGTAGTAACTATGTGAGGTCAATAAATTTTTCTTAACAATTTGTTTCTTTTTTCAAAAAAATCTCCTCTGAATGCGATTAAGATATCGTCTGGGTAACAATTTGTACGATAAGTTTTTCCATTTGCTGAGTCCATGACTCTCTGGAATTCATTGGGCGTTGCTCGTAAAACTCCTAGGAAACAGTCAAAATTCATAAATGCCGTTTTATTGCCACCTACAATGTTAAAATTCATTGTTTGCTTCTAAAGTCGTCTAGGCTAATTGGTTATAAGCGTTCCTTGAGTCGAATTTTGTAAGTCAAACATCTCCGGGGGGATTTTTTAGATAGTTTGGTTGCTGCAGAATCTACAAGCTCGTGAATGTTGGCTAATGAAATTCGAATTTAATACTAGTGTTTTTGATTTAGTTTTCTTACAAAGTATGAAAATAGGGCTTGTAAACAGATCGTTGTCATAATTCTCAAAATTGCTGATGTGTCCCTCAGATTTTTAACAAGGAAGTTCTTCTTTGACGGAGCCTTAAAAATGGACCGGTTTTCTTCTCCTCTTTATTTGGATGGGTTCTACCGACTCATGGAAATACGATATCTTTGTTTGATACTTAATTTTTCCAATACGAAAGAGTAGTTTTTCGAAATTGCTTAAAGGTTTCTTTGTCTTATCAATTTGGGGTTGAAAAGGTTATAGAGAATTAACTGAACTACTGAGGCTTGAGAAAAGTGATTTAGGCAGTTTTTTTTGCAGGCTATTTTTTTCGACTTTTCAAAAACTGTCCTTGCCTAGAATAGTTCTTTTGTGATCTTTTGTTAGATAGAAAGAACAACCTTTATTAAACCATCCGTTGGAAAAATCCGAAATGTGAATCTACCGATAATTTTGATCGATGTATCGGTGAATCTACAATAGAGTACTTGTTCGCGTAAGCCACTGAATGTATTTTGATGTAAACAATTCTCAAGTTTAGTTCGTGTATGCAATTTTCTACTCGAGGAAAAGACTCGCGGAATTTTTTTCAAAGATTGGGCATACTTGGGTTCCGTATCCCAGGGCTTTGTTTTTTGACTGTTCCTCAAATTCCCTCCCGTCTTTATTGCAAAAACTTGTAGAGTTTAGAACAGATTAATCGTCACTTTTGCTTTGTCCGCATTCGAGACGGTGCCACGCAACTACACGATTTTCTCTATGTGCCTGATCTGTTGTTACACAAGTGTAATCCGACGAACTTTTGTCATCTGCGCTAGCTTTATTTCGACTATTTGCAATGTTTCATTTTAACGTTTCGGTTTACTGTTTTTTGTGAAATTTCGTTTGTATTTACATTTATAACATGTAGCGTATTTAGCTGGACAGACTGGAAAGTGTCCTTTTGAGAATTTCTAGCGAACTTTATACAAAAATTACTGCTTTCGACTTCGTTAGAGTGGGTTTCTCTCGACATGAAAATGAATTTTGTTAATGCGATGTACCAAGTTACCAGGCGGCTGGAAGTTGCAAGTCATATTCGAATGGTTGCTGATATCTCTCTTGTCTCTATGAGCTGCCTTCAGTACTTCTGATGAGGTAATGTTTCTGCAAGCAGAATCCTCTGGTTGTCAAAAACTTTCATTTACTCATGAAAAAGTCCCGTATTCTTTCCTCCTCTCCGCTGGATATGTCGCATTTCTTTGCCAAATCTTTTACGGCTCCCACAAACTGTTTTAATGGTTCTCTATTTTTTTTCACGCTTAAGAGCTTGTGTCTTTCGAAAGTTATGCTTATCTTTCTGATCAATACTGTTGCAAAAGTTACTAATATTTTTTGAACGAGTTGTGGTTTTTTGGACTAAAAATTACTTTGTTTTCAGTTACGAGGGATAAATTTAACACAAAGGTCTCAGTTTTTTGTCAGCTATTTCTCGACTCACTCGGTTAAATTTTTTTCATTTCTCTTTTTTATTAGGCTGATTCTTCGTCGTTGTAGCGTCTTTGCTCCGCCAGGTTTTTTCCATTCTGGCGTTCTTTTTTTGCCTTCGGTTTTGTTGCCTTTCGGGGCTCTTCATAAAAAGGAGGAGTAGTAGGATTTCTTTACACTGGATTTAGCACAACGTTTACACATATATTCCCTTTAGCTGTTATTGCTGATTGGAACAAATCCTTCCAATCTTTCTACGGAGCTGGAGCGTCAGTTGAGTGAATTTGCAAAAAATTTTACTCGATTCGTTATCGCTGGACTGCACCATGATAAAATGATTTAATGCTATGTCTGTTTTAAATTAAAAGAATAAGAAGAATAAGTTCAAGTGAGTTACTTAATTAATAAAACATTAGCTTTTTTTTCAAAGTTTTAGCCTTTTTGCAAAATTTTGATAAAACCTGTTTGTTTGGCTAGTATATAAGGTGTAGATGGCGCCGTTAGAAAACTATAAGGTTGGTCGGCCTAAGAAAAGGGCTGTCGTAAAAAATTCTCAAAGGGGACCCTATGTTTAGTGATTGGGTTGAATCCCTTATAAATCCGCACTTTGTTTTGGGATCGGTTATGTTTAGTTCATTTCAGACCATGAAAAGCCATTACAATCACTTTTTTTTTATTTATCTTAGGTGCAGAAAAACAATTTCGAAAAAAAGTTTTTAAAAAGTTGTTATAGGTTCTCATATATCGAAGCCTCGATTTGTGTTACTCTTTACGCATCCGAAAAAAAACAGTAACTTAGACTTGTTTTTTTTTAGTTTTGTTTTCTTTTGCGAATTTTCCCTAAATAAATAATATTTTTGACTTTGTGAATACAGTTTGTTTTATTTTTTTCTCTTTTGATTGTGCAGTCCTGTTCGGCAGCACAGAATGGAGGAAATGAGGAAGCAGCACTACAAGGAGAACTACGTGGACTTCCAACACGGAAAACAACTCGCACAGCAGACCATACAGGTGGGTGCAAGTCATGACACTTAATGAGTACATAGAAAAATATATCATTTAACATTTTAAATAGGCTCTTTAGAATAGGATATAAAAAACCTCGTACTTCTAAGCACAAAAGTAAACACGTAGGCATCTTAATAAGAGTGAACGGCGGGGGTATTTAAAAAAAATTAAATTTCTGCAAGGTTTTTCCAAGAAGTTTGTCAAACTGAACATACTCCATAGACTTTGCCCTGGTAAGTTTAGTTGCCCTGATACGAGTTATTTAACACTCGTTTTGCTTAAGATAAAAAACGGATTTTCATTGTTGCTGGACACACTACTTGTCTCTGGCTTTTTTGGAGGTCATAATAGAAACAAGAATAGCCGGTTACCGTGCAAGCAGCACAGAACGTCCCGACCATTTTCTTGAAAAAAAGTACATTTTTTTCAAATTAATACTTTTTCTACGTATTGTGAGAAAAGGATCTGAAGAAAAAGTATAATTTAGGCATTTTCATCAGTCATAGTAGAACAGGCAAACAAATTGGACCACAGTTTTAATAGAAAATTGATTGGAAAAACAAAAAAAATGTTGTAAGCATCAAAAAAAGAATAAAAGATTTAATCAGTTTTTTTGCATCATTTTTTGAGAAATTTTGAATTTTTTTATTCCTAAATTTTCGCCGGAAAAATTCCGAAAGATACCTTTAATCGAATAAAATTAAATTTCCGCGGCCTAATCTACGCATAATTAGGCCCTTTTAAGCCTGCTAGTTCGCGTTTATTCGATCGGAATAAGACAAAAAACTAAATTCTTAAAGCGGTTTTTCTCAATACTAGAAACAATTTTTGGGGATTTTTATTGTGGTTCGAATCGCGACTGAAAAGGCTTCCTTATTGTATATCCTTCAACCCAGTCGATGATTATTTGTGGGACCTGATTTTGTGTGAAATACAAAAAGAAAAAAAGAAAAAACTAAAACACACCCGAATACAAAGTTCATCCCCATTTTCAATGGTCGGCACAAAAAGGGTGAAATTTTGCGCCATTAAAAAAAATACCACTTAAGATACACGAGTTTATTTCAACCCAACTATTGAAAAATAGCTGCTGAAAACCCTTATAATTGACTGAACAAAAAGTTGTGAGCCAAAAAGTTGTACAAAAAGTTGTGAGCCTGATAACAATTTATTATTGTTATTATGACTATGAGTAATGATTCATTCAAAAATAATTATCTTGTACATTTTTTTATTAATTAAATCACAATTTAAAAGTTTTTGTATTTTGTGTTTTGTGTTTTTGTATTTGATGTCACTATGGAACCATAAAGTATACTTTAGTCCACCGCTTCCAAAACGCCAGGGTTGATGGAGAGTAAGAATGCAGATGGGGTGGGGGTTGTCAGTTCCAGACAGAGGGATGGGTCGGATGAAGCAGGGGGAGCAGAAGAGACCGAGAACACTGAGGATATGCTGCCCCCTCTGAGGGGAGGGATGGAGGGGGAGGATAACAGTGAGTATAATCTCAGTAAGAGATTTTTAGCCAGAAAATTTTTTCTTACTATAACTGCTTAGTGAGAGTTTTAGAGGTGTTTCTGTCTCTCAACGTTTGAGATCCACGTTTGATGTGTAGACTATTTGGTAGGAGAAAATTGATTGTTCAGACTTTCTTGTCGTAATCTCGTCTGCGTTTTGTTTTTAGAGAATATATATATAAGCCAGCAGAAGTATAAACTAACCGAAAATTCGCGGAGCTAGTCAAAAAACTACATCGAAAAATAGAATTGCATAACTTTCGGAGCTGTTACATAATTGTTACATAACTGTTATATAACACTTACGTTTTTTCGGCTGGTTGATACTTCGGCTGGTTTTGATACTTTGGCTATAAATTGCTTTGAAAAAAATCATAGTGTCACGGCTGGAAAGAGTTTAATCTAAAATCACAATCAAAAACTCAAAATTTTCATTGAGGTTATGAAAATGGGAAGGAACCCCACCCCCTCACTCATTTTTCACTTTTAACCCCATATGAATTTTTTCTTGATTTGCTTAGCTTCAAATACTAGAACTAAATAATTCTTTCAGAGGGTCATTGATAAGCAATTAATCCTAACAGCATTAGATTGTTAAGCTAAGATGGCCAGTTTCGGTCATATTTCCCTAATTTAGCTTGAGTTATGTTTTTTTGGGCGATGAACTCAATTTATTAGGGTCTTTTTTAGTTATGAAATCTCTATTCAAAGCTATATCGGCCACGTTATGGTTAACCCAACGGTAGAGATCAAGTAAGAGCTCATTTTAACACACTTTCATTGTCTTAAAGTTCAACCTAATGGAACCTGATCTAAACTACATTTTATTATTGGATAAATTAGATATTTTATCACTATAAAAAATTTAATATTAACCAATCATATTCCATCTAACTAACAACCCACTTATTTGTAAAAGCTGAAATTACTTGTAATTTCAGCACCAGAGAGATTTGAATTTAACTTAGAAATTAGTTACCTCTCCAAGAGAACTTCAGCAGTCGCAATAAGCCAGTATACTCTAGATCTATTGAGCCTAGCAGAGACTAGTTAAACACCCTGAGACTAGTAGATATAAGAGTAAGATTAGGATCGGTATTAGATTAAGAAGTTGCACGAATCTATCCGGCCGAAAATAAGATAGCGTGACGAGCAGACGGTGTACCCTATCCGAAATTAGTCTATGAGTTAAAGCATACATCTTAACTCACTAATGCATTTTTTGACAAAATCAAGGCAAACGGCCTAAAATGATTTTTGAATTGTTTGCTCAACAGATTTTTCTTCTAATCATTGAACTTCTCTGCTTAATTGCGAAGAAAATCTTGATGAACTAGCTCTTAAACATCCTTGTCGTATGGAAAATGTGTAATGCTAAAACTTCTGAGAAAAAACTAATGGACGCAATGCTTAGCAAATTCCCGATTTGAAGTTCAACCGTTAATTATCGCGTTTTCTGTAGTATCCTAGTATCCTAGTGATTGCTACTTTCCAGAGCTGATTCATGTTTAATTCAGAGTTTTTGCATAGCTAAACCTGCAATATATCAAAGCTATTTCAGCAATATTATTCCGTAGAAAATCAGCGCTAAATTTATTAAACTTTAACTCATTCTAGTAGCCTTTAACTTAATTTAGGCTTGGAGGGATGTAACTTAAAATGAAAATTGTATGACTAGTGTTTTTTAAATTTGAAATTCAAAATAATTTTGAAATTGCCCCTAAATTTTTGTTTCAACTGCAAATCGAATTTTGTACTCATACAAGCATTTTCCATTAAAAAAATTTCATGCAAATTGTAATTTTTTGTGTGCATAACGTAGTCCTGGATAAAAAAAAATGATTTTTTTTCCTTTTCTCTGGATAATTTTGTTTACAAAAACGCTAAAAATAATCATCCTTGAACAATTTTGCCAATCTTTGCAAAAGTTTCTTGCTTTCATTTTATGATAATTGCAAGACGATGAAACTTTTGGTGACTTTAATATTGAGTAAATCATGGTTTGTCACGTGAGTTCGGTCACGAACACATCCCAAAAACTTTGAGAAAATATGTTTTTTTAATAATTGTTTTTTGGTTTATGTGAAATTGCTTGTCATACATTTTCCAAATCTGAAAAATCACTAATCATAGACCTTTCATTCAGTTTTTTGTTTTTATGGAATTGCATAAAAATTGTATGAGTCGCATTTTTCTAAATGTGAAAATTGTATGACTAGCATTTTTGGTCAACCCCAGACTTGACTGACATTTTTGGTCAACCCGGGACTTTTTTAATGTTACATATTGAAACAAGTGTGGTTTCAGCCTGACAGATAGAGTAAAAAAATGTAAATTCCTATTCAAAGTAAAACTTTTTGGAAAACTTTGTAATTTTCCTCGTGTATAGAAACTGGTTTGGGATTTTCGCAATGCAAGAATCATATTTTCATGAGAGAAACCAAATTTACTTTTTAAGCACCTAAGATCGACTGCGAAGAAATTTTGGTTTTAGTTGTGTTCTTCCAATGTCACCAAAAAAAATTTCAAAAGAAAATGAGCAATGTAATATTTTTAAATGCTTTGTCAAATTTTTGGATACAAAAAACTCAAATAGTATTGTCTCGTTGTAGAGAAAATCTGTATGAAATTTATTTTCATAGAAACTTGTAGCATTGCGCTTTTTAGCAACAAAATGGCTGCTGAAAAAATTGATTGGAAACTTTTCCGAAAGTATAAATTTGAAATGAATGTCTCATCAAAAAACGAAAAAAAGGATAGCCGGTTACTGGGCAAGTAGTTTTTTAAAAACCTAGAAGAAAAAGTTTTTTTTTCAAATAAAGGTAGTTTTTCTGCAAGGTGTGATAAAAAGATCTGATAATTGACTATTAACTATTATTTAGTCTTATTCGACACCCATAATAATATGGACAAACATGACAACTAATTTTGAGGAAAAATGGCAAAATAAAACAAAAAAATACAGGAAAAGAAAATTTATTTCATTTTTTCAATTTTTTTTGCAGTTTATTTTTGTTTTTTTTTTGAAGTTTTTGAGTCCCAAAAATGCATTTAAATTTTTTTAAAAGCTAATATTTTCTAATAAACACAACACTAAGCATACATCAACTATGGTAAACGGCCTAAATTAAGCATAATTAAGTGTGCTTTGCTCGCTCTACCAGCTCGAATTTCGACAAAAAAAATCAAAAATTTCAAAGCAGCTTTTCTCAAAAATTGGAAAAAATTTTTTTAAAATTTTTCAACGTCGGTCAAATCACAACTGGAAGGGCTTTAACATGATATATCACTCAACCCACTCCTATCGATGATTATTTAAAGAAAAAAAACTATAACACCCGAAGACAAAGTTCAATGGTCCGAGAAAATTTTGCAAAACGTTTCTGAGAAAAAGAAAAAGGCTGAAATTGTGGTTTACACATTTTTCAGACTGGTTAGTAATTTCAAACCATTGGGCTTTAATTTTGCATCCAGCAACTATTATTATTAAAATTTGTGTTCTGTTCTGTTAGAAGCTGTGTTTTCAGATGGTCCACTCTACTGTGAACCGAACAGTCCTTCAGTTGTCGTCGGGTTCAAAGAACTCAGAAATAAGGTCAGTTGCTAATAAAATAATTCTTTTCTTGTTGGTTCCGAAGCATTATAATTGATCAAAAAAGGGGCAAAAATTTTGCTTTTAGGTCATTTTAAAGCGAATTACGGCTATAGCAAAAACATACAAAACGACTAAGTTCAAAGCACAAAATCATGAAGGTTTGCTTAACGCTTGAGAAACTTCTTTACATACTACAATCAAAGTTTGTTTGAAATTTCCGTAATGAAAATGAAACTTTCGCATGTCACAATTGTAATTTTAGCATCTGAAAATTGTTTTTTCTAGCCTTCAAATTTTTGATTGATACCATTTATGATAAACGTTTTGATCTGATGTGATTTTACATTACAGTACTAAATAATTTCATCACTAATGCTTCTGCTTAATATCATTAAAAAAAAATTAGAAATTTTGTTTTGGAAATAACAAAGGATAATAATACGCTTCTTCGGATCCAAAAATATCAGATCTATCGATATCATTTTTAGACATTCGACCTCTAGCTGACGATATCACTTCATAACGATAACACTTATAGGTACGGTTTTTTGAGATATTTATTCTACACAACAGACAAATTGAAGTTTTATATGGCCTAGAGGTAACCAGATTGATGTTCAGGAACTACAGATACAGGTTTCTAATATGACTTCCGGCATCCAAACTTGCTTAAATGGGAAAAATCGTTTGTAATGGGTTGTTTTAAGAATTTTGTGCTACTTGTTTTGATTAATCATACCAACACTAGTTACTTGAACGATTCAGAATGCATTATAATCCTTACTTTTTCAAGAATTTATAATTTATTTTAATTAGTTATAGTTGATTATAGTTTCTACGAAAAATCTCTTAAAATTGTTTATAATTGATGATAGTATATTTTTTGCCACAGGGTTTTCCAGCCAAAAACCTATCTTAATTTTTTATGTGTTATTATATTGCTGTCAATAACAAAAGCCCTAATGGTGAGATGTCTTATCATTTTTGATTTCGTTTGAACACAAAATGTTACATCAAAAAAACTTCAAAAAGATCATGTAAATGAAATGGCTCCCATGTGAAGTGAAACTTAGCTCAGCCAACCAAATCCTTGAACTAAAACAATAGGATGACATTTTGGTAGAAGAAAAAAAAAATTGTACATCATGAACAAATTTTGAATCGACAAAAAAATCTAATATCCTAGAATTTTTTCAAAACTGTGAAAAATGTTTCCTAATGTTTTAAATGAGCCAGCGTTTATAAGAAGCATAAGCTATTAGCACTTTACACGCAAAATTGAAGGAAAATAGGCAAAAAAGCAAATTCTTTTTAATTGTAACTGATGAAATTAGTTTTTATTTCAAAAGAGAAAAATGTATTCGATAATAATTATTTTTAATGATTGATAACAAACGATTGTTTATATTTGAGTAAGTTGCAATAATACTTACATTACTTTAGATTCAAAAATAGGGATTATAATAGATTGTTCAATAGTCATATTAGTTTTTTTTCTTTTAGATAACCTGATATGAAAATCATATTTTAGTTAGTAAAGGCTTAAAATGGATGCAAGTTTGGCCCTAATTTTGGGACACAATGTATTACAGATATCTTGAAAACAGATATTTAACTCTATGTTTTAACTGCGTTCTCTTTGATTAGAATAAAAAGTCGAAAAATTGCACTGGGACAGTACTGGATTGCACTGCCGTTTTTGGTGCTGATTCTATCTCTGACCAGAGTTAGGGGAAAGATTTAATGAAATCTTTCCGCACTGACAAAAAAGGAAAAAAATTGATTGTATAGTAAAAAAAAATCTACAGATTAACGTAACTGTAGAATCGAATTAGCTACAACTAATTTACGTGCAATAATCGATTATATATAATCTATTATCAGATAATAGATAATCTATATAATCTATTATCGGATATGATCTATTTTTTTTTGACCAAAAATAACTAGTTTGTAGTGCCAAAATAAACGATTTTCCCCTCCATAAAACCTGTATATACTCTGTAGATAAACTGTAGATAGTCCGCATATAATCTTGAAAAAAAATCTGTTCAAAAACTATTATACTGCTTAAGAAATAAAGGGGCCGTAACAATTTCAATTTTGACTGATCAGAGTTTGATTTAGTGATTTTTTTCACAAATTCAACAAAATTTTGTTGGCAGGAAAGACTTTCTTCAGTACTGTAATGCTGAAGAAAACACTACTATACTGCTGAGAAAAACGTTTTTATGTAAGGGTTCCCGCGGCAAGAAAATGGACTAGTGTAATTTTTTTTTCAAAACACTTGTAAAAGATCAACTTTCTACCGTTTCAACAATACTGATTTTAATTTTTTTTCAGATCAAGTAACAGGAAAAAAATTTCAATGAAAACCCGACATTATATTTTTTTTCAGTATACCTATATTATCTGATTAGTGATTTTGTTGAGAAAATCAGTATAAAAACTGTATATGATATTTATACAGTCTGTATAAAATCTGTAGATAATTTTTACATAAATTGTATACAGTCTGCGTATAATCTGCTTGTAATCAGTATATAATCTGTAGACAGTAGACAATCTGTAAAAAATCTGTTGATAATCTGTAGAGAATCTTTAAATAATCTGTATACGATCTTGATACCAATAAAAAGTTAATACCAATTTAAAAAAAATTTAAAGTGTTTTGGTAATGATTAAATAATGAAGATATACAGCAGAAATTTTTCGCACAACAAAAAGTATTATGATCTATTTTTAAAACTAAATAATCGAAGTTTTACTAGATAAAATTACAACAGGTCTAAAATCTGTATTTTATTCCTGTAGATACTCGATTTTTAACCAATTTGTCACCGTGGGTAACTCGAAAAGTACTGAATTGCACTGCCAGCGTAATCTGGAAAGCAATTGGCAATCGTTAGCTGTCGGTTGTCTTATTCGATACAATACAGGCAGCTAGAGCTGAAAGTCTTGCTTTAGTGCTGATGCTCTAAATGGTTAATTTGGTTTATAATTGGAATTTTTGGCCGATCAGTATCGAGTATTTTTGTAATGCAGTTTTAAGTAATTTAAATCCAAGGCCCAAATAGGGCTGCTGCATAATAGCAAAAGATTCTGCTTTTTTGTGCTCCATGAAAGTTCTCATTAATCATGCGTTTAATTAAAAAAATTTACGCTTTGTCGCTGTTTGAGGAAAAATTAATTTGAAAAACGAGAAAGGACTCTCTGGAAGCAAAATAGTATATCAGTAGTGTCGCGGATAGATTCAAATTTTGATAAAAATTTAGTCGGGTAGAGGATAGATGCGTATTTGGTATTTCCGAGAAATAGAATGATTTCAAAAAGATTTTTGAGAAAAATTGATCGAAGTTCTTCTCTATCTGTTGCTTTATAAAATGTTCTGCTCCATAAGTCAAATTCTGTAGATTCTGCAAATTCTACAATTTCTGCTGCTAGCAGAATTCTGTGGGGCCTGATTTAAATCTTAAATCCAAATTAAATTTTGACGAGGAAGGTCCACAGAATTTTTTGCGGAGAATAATGTTTTTAGTCTAGTTCAGGAGGGGGGGGGGGGGGGGGGGGGTGGTTGTTTACATTGCCCTCATTGTTTTTTGATCTTCTGTTCTTCTGTTCTTCAGGTTGAGGAGGACGAGACCGGACGTTTGCAGCGCAGCGCAGAAGTTGGAGAGCAAAAAGAGTGAGTTTAGACGGACAAAAACACTACGGCTTCTATTTTCAATTATCTCAAAACTTTCAAGGTTGTTTGAGAAATAGAGCAGTCAATCTCGTTTTGACTCAATCCGACGTATGATTGAAACAAACAGTTCTACCGAGACTTTATTTTCTTCTCAAAAATCTGGCTTTCCAAAAAACTGAGGCCGCGATAAAAAAAATTGACCTTAAAAATTCTTTTTAAACTTGAAACAATAAGACTCCAGTTACTGATATTTAAAAAAGCTTTTTCCAACTGTTTACAGTGTATTTTTCTACAGTTTCTTTGAGTTTTAAAACCACCTAACAAACTAAGAGACATACCGAAAACTATTTGTGAAAAAATAATCGAGTTGAAACAATTCGTTAGCCTTCCTTCCCGAATCGAGGTGCTCACTTTATGTTCCAACGTTCAAATTCGAGCAAACGTCGGTGCTCGACCGAAAAAGAATAGTCGAAACGAGCACAAACTCGAAACATACCTCGAGCACGGTCGAAACTTAAAATGAGCAGATTCAAAAGTGATTTTTGGTCGGTTTTTTGGCTCGCAAAACTGTAAAATAGATGCAAATAGCAAACTAATTTTTTTAATATGTATTGTTAATGTGCAGTTAGCTAGACCAGCATTTTTCTAGTCCATCCTCCGAGTTCCAGAGCAAGAGGAAAGCACACTACAAAACATACGTGCCATTTGGAAGTGCCAGGAGACTAGCTTCCCAGACACTGGAGCAGGAACAACAGGCAGGCAGAGGGAGGGAGAATAGCTTGGGGGAGGAGGTGGAAGGAGGTAGAGTAAACTTTATTTTCACGGCTCTTTCCCATTATACCCCCCCCCTCCCCCTAATGGAGCCTAGACTCTTTTCCATCCCACCCCCATATTTTAAAATTTTTTATCAGAGTTGTTTTACGTGTTATTATGGCTAAATACACTGTTCATGTTGCTAGAATATAAAATATTAAGAATTAATCTGTTCACAATTGTTAATACTGTTCTCTATTCCAAATAATATTGCATTATGAGCATGTTGATTTAATTTTTCAAAAATAAATTTTAAATTTGGGGATTAGTGGTGAAAAAGAGCCGAATCTTATAACATGAAAACAAATAAAAGTTCAAGGAGAACTAAATTTATCGAAATTAATTTCTAAAAAAATTTTTGTCCGTTAGATAATATTCATTATTTTTTATCAAAAAAAAAATAGATTAAAGCATCAAATATTATCATATTACACAGATGGTTGTGTGATTACAGCCGCCGAACCCCCCAGTCTCAGCGTGGACACTAGCCATGAACTGATGACCTCTCTCGACCCCAGAAGTAGAACTGTGGTCATGAGCACATCAGTAGAACAGGAGCACGAACTCACGTCAGGGACAGATCAAAGCCATGGTCATGCTCATGGTCATGTTCATGGTCATGGTCATGGTCATGGTCATAATCATGGCCATAGTGGGAAGAAAGTGATCCCGCCCGGGGAAGAGGTATGGTTATGGAAGCTTTGTGTATGGACTTAAGTGGGTATAGCAGAAGGCGCAACTTTCGAGCTCAACTTGTATTTTGAGACCTTTAGGGTGGTTTTGAAATTTTTGTGTCGTTCTACCTAAGATACTCTGAGCTCCCAAATGCGACCATTAAAATGATTTATCCCCGAAGTATTTGCAAAGTAATTCATTATTTTCCCTTGTGTTTGTGTTTGTGGACAGGCGGATGCATCTGGTGCTCGTCCTTATTTACAGAGGAGAGAGTCTGCGATATCCTTCAGAGAAACAGTCGAGAGGGTAAGACCAAACATGGCCATTCTCATGCCCGTAACACTTGAACGCGAAAAAAATCTCCACAAATTAAAACTCTTCAAGCAGTCCAAAACTGACTGAATTTATCGCTCATTAATTTAAAATGCTCTGATTGGCTGAAAACGTTTTTTCGCGTTTACTTTCTTCACGCATGAGAAACTCCCTCAATCTTACTATATAATCCCAATTAGTCGTGTTTTAAAAAATTGACATGCAGTTGTGGAACAGGTTGAAAACGGTCACATTGCAGTAATCCTAAGTAGAACCCAAAGATTTAACCTTTATAGGAGATAATTTTTTTAGAGTGGTGAAAGGACAATGTAATTTAATAAAAACTTAGAAAAATAGAAATTAAATTTAGATAATCAGATACTCTAGTATGTTTCAGAGTATAAACAAAAAATGAGAAATGAGCTCGCAACCTTAATCTAAATTAACGGTAAAGCGCAAATAACGCAATAGTCAGCACAAGTGTCAACGAAAATGAACAGTACAAGTGGCCTTGATGCCTGAGGTATAGACATAACATAATTACATAGGATTTACACTAACATGTCGAGGTACCGTAGGTAACCTCCTGACGAATTTGACTCATTTTCGGCTGATCGTCATTGATTTTGTAACAAGCGTTTTCGGTGCTGTCATGCCACGCATAGAACATAGTATGTTTATTCGTTGCATTATTGCTGCAGTTATTGCAGTGGCGTCAAGGTCGCCCACCAGCCGTGCTAAGCTATATCTCATGGTGCTTAATCTTTTGTTTATCTGTCTGTTCATCTGTGCTAAGATACAGACCTATTCAAAATTGTTTACGTTAGCTAACAAAACCTTTGTCCTTAACTACTTGAAAACCCTTTGATTATAAAAGGTTAATTCTGGATCGGATAAGATCCTTTATAAGTACGATACTACTTATATACTACAGTTGTAGTTATTTATTTAGTATCGCACTTATAAAGGATCTTATCCGATCCAGAATTAACCTTGTATAATCAAAGGGTTTTCAAGTAGTTAAGGACAAATGTTTTTTTAGCTAACGTAAACAATTTTGAAGAGGTCTGTATCTTAACACGGATGAACAGACAGATAAACAAAAGATTAAGCACCGTGAGATATAGCATAGCACGGATGATGAGCGACCTTGACGCCACTGCAATAATTGCTGCAATAATGCAACGAATAAACATACTATGTTCTATGCGTGGCATGACATACCCGGGGGCAACAAAAAAAATCTTATACAATAAATTGTTTCTTAATATAAACAACATCAGCGCCAGGGTGAGAAAAAGACTAGGCATAAAGTATAACAGTTTAAAACGACGGCACTGAATAGAGTTTTAACAAACGTTTTAAGAGAGGTTAGATACTGGAGATGTTTATTCTTTAAATACGATCTCTTTTGGGGAATGTCTACTAGTCGAAGAACATGACTGCACAAAGCCCTCGGTGTTTCTTCTAATGAATCGTCGCTTTGCGGTGACTGGGGAACTGCCACCGAACTGACCTGTCGACGGAGAAGTGGCTACGCTTTCTTCCACCTCCTTTACTGAGTGGCGTATCGGACTGTCGTAGCGAGCTAGAGCTTTTCTATGGCGACCTGACGCCCCAGCACTTGGGGACGAGGAGGTTTGCGACTCCACGTCATCCTGCACCGTTGGCTGAGCCGGTTTGGCTTGAACTAGACTTTCCGAAGTAGAGGGACCCGGTTTGGCGAGGTCTGTCGCCTCTGGGCCTGGAGATGATGATGGCCCCGCTGAGTTATCCGGAATCGTTTGAGCGGTGTATCGGGATCGTAGGGTAGAGGCTGCGGTGTCTGCGGCATGTAGGGTGGCCACAGAGGTATTCGAGGCCTTCAGATTTCCCAAAGGCGAGTCCAAAGGCAAGGATGAGTGCATTAACGTAGAAGGTGTCTGAGGAACAAGATTCGTTGATGATCCCTGGAGAGTCGCTGACGAGGTTTTTGAGGTCGGCTGGGGCGTGGACATCGCACGAGGATACCGCCTGGGTGACTGAGTCCGGGACAGAGCCTCTTGAGTGTCCGAGTCCGACAACCAGACCACTGGTGGAGCAGTCGACCGCTGATGAGAAGCAGGCACTATCGTGATAGGGCAACGCGGCGTAGGCGTAATAGTTTGGCCTCTTGGCGCAATTTTTCGTGGAGGCATTTGTCCAATCCTGACTCCCCGAACGGGAGCTGCTGCTGATATTTTAGCCAAAATCTCACATTTATAAATATTGTGTTTTAAAGCTATATGATTCTTCCGGTGAACTTTTCCCGTATTCGTAATGTACGTGTTGTTTGTGACTCAAACGATCTTGAATTTTGCCAGTCTATAAAGTGGTTTGCCAGAGTTTTGGTCTAGACATTTTCTAAAAACTTTTACACTATCAGGGCTATGTAACAACTCTGAAGAGATTCTGAAGTACTCGTACCGGAAGGTCTTGATCTCGAAGGGCCCGGTGAATCTCAAAGCTCTCTACTCGGCGCATCCGCAAGGCGGTCGTAAAACTTCAGGGTATTTTTGTTGAGGCCGACTTTTAGAGCAATAGCAATCTCATTATTGCGCGACCCTAGTTCCCGCATCAGGTTTCTTCCCGTTTCCACGTTGATATTGCGTTTAATCTGGCTCCATTTATAGGCAGCAAGTGCAAGTTCTTCAAGGGCCTTATATTCGCCAGCTTCACAATAAAAATCAGTTTTCACTGGGACGCCTCACCGAAAAAAAGCAGCTCAAATTTTGGTGAAAACTTAAGAAAAAAACACAAAAAATCGTTTCTGCTTTAATTGTTCAAAAAATATGTCAGCGGTGCTTGAGTTTTAGCGTTCTTATTTAAAATAGGACTTTGTGCTGGAATTTGGATTTCCAGCAGTTTTTTTTCCTGCAACCTACGAATTCGTTTATTTTTTATTCAGGTATTTGTCAAGTTATGATCGAATTATCCAAAAAAGCAAACAAAAAATTGGAGTGCTGTGTAACCAAATTGGGTTCGTTAACAGTCCCCTCACTGTTTCTGGTGCTTCATTTTTAAGTTCTCTGTATATGCAAATTTGCAATTATTAATGAGAAATAAATTCTTTCTTTCTCTCTGGAATAAATAGTGTGTAAAGTGTCTGTGTGCTTCATTTTTTAAGTTTTACAGACTTCAGCTCCTAATTTTTCCAATAAATATCTATCGAAGCGTTTTGAGAAAAAAACTTTTGCTCGAATCCCAAAAACAGCAATCAAAAGATCAGGGATTTGACCCCCTCGTCGACCCACAGGCGCTACCTTTGATATTATTAAGTGGCATCCATTTTCGGCCGACCAAAATTAAAGTTTTTCAATGGCGCCATTGGCGCCTATATCTTAACTTTGAAGGAAAGCGCATCCTAAAAGCGGCATTTTTGTGTTTTTTGAATTTTGCACGCAAAATAGGGTCTTTACAGTGTTCTGGGAGAGCTTGCAGAGTCAGTTTATTTAATGTCCTTGGTCGCATTCGCCAGCTTCACTCAGGAATCAAAATTAATTGCGTTAAAAATTAAAGTTGCGACAAAAAATGCGTTTGAACAAGACTTTTATGTGTCTGTTGATTTATTTATTATCTCGTTTCTGTTGTGTTAGGTGCAGTTAGTGCCGAAGGAGAGAGGACTTAATGATGACGAGGAGGATGGTGGGGAGGATCTTGTGGCTTTAAGGTTCGAGCAGTCCCTCAAGGACCCAGATTCCGCCAGGTAACACCCACCGATATACATTCATATTCATACTCATTAAGTGTATTAAGATGACTGAAAGAACATTATACAAGGCAGCATTTTGGAAAAAAAGAATGTTGCTTATGCCTCTCAATTGAACAGTTGGCGATTCGACACACGCAGCATGATTTCTAAAAGAGTTGCCATCAACCATAAATTGAAACATCACGTTCTAGGTTCTATCAATACAAACAAAAGGCTATACACCTGAAGCAAAGGCACCCTTCGTTAACCTTGTATGCAGATTGACCCAATAACTTGCCCTTATTAACTCATGACCCGACCCTGTTTTGACACTTGTTCTGTTACAAATTAAGCTCGTTTGTTATCGTGTCAAAAATTGGGCATTGATTGGATATTTCGCTCTAGAGATCGAGCATTCTTCAGTCCGGGAAGTTCCGCATTTAAAAGTGAAAAATAGAGAAATACGAGTCAATTTTGAGCAATTTTAAAAGTTTTGTTGGGAATTCAACTTTCCTGCCGTGGGTATTGCTTCTATTATTTGACCGAAGTTCGTGACCTCTTCCCGGGTTTTGAGAGTAATTTTTTTCAGCAAAGAGTCTTCGGAGTTTGTGGCTAAGAGAAAGGAGCACTACGACACCTACATGGACCTGGGACAGGCCAGACGACTGGCTAGACTGGCACTAGACGCCGAGACGGGGGAGCCGACCATTACCAACACAGAAGGCTTTACACAGGTAAGTAGTACTACAACCCTCGGGCGCCAGAAATAATATGATGCTTTTTTACCCCGCAGTTTTTGCGTGATTTTTATCTAATAAAAAATGTCAAAAATTACCCTTTTTTACACAAAATTTCGGCCGCGAATTTAGCAAAACGTTTTTTGAAAAAAAAAATCGAAGCAACCGACTTTTGTTCTCAATTCAACCAAAACAGAAAAAGACGCGTTTAAGTTTCCAATTTTAAACGCTTTGTTAATTTGAATATGTGTATTGATGAAACTTTCAGCTTTTTTAATTAACAGGATACGATGGATGGAACGTGGACACAGGATACCGTGGGGACCATAGGGGGGACCACTGGGGGGTCAATAGGAGCGGACGAGACTGATCTGTGATAAGGATTGAGATTCTTCCCATCAATCCAGTCCAAAAGCTAACTAAATAGTTTATAATGGATTGTGAGGTGGAGCAAGAAGATTGGCAGAAGGGAAGAATCAATTGAGATACTAATTATAATATTTGCAGTGAATTATAAATCTAATTCAATTTTGATTTCTAAAATATTCTTGATAAAATAGTTTAGGGAAATTAGTTTTTCAGAAAATAAACACCTGGAAATGGACCTTTTTAAGTAAATGATTTGAAGATTTCCTTATTTTCTGAACTTCTTTCTGAAACTTTCTGTAATTTTTTGTAACAATTCCTATAAAAAACTGATATATGTATATATTTTTGAAAGTTTTTCAAAGGTGTACTTTTTCTTACTGCGAGAGATATTATATACTCAAATCACCCCTGAAAGATATAGTTTGCAGTAAACAGCTCTCTTCTTCTGATTTTAGCTCATCGATGGAGAGTTTTTTTGGATCAATCTGTTTGCTCAAAAGTTGACCTTAAAAACATTTTAATGATAATCACTTTTGATACACAAACATGAATGAATCATCAATAAACATCGCTTAAATTGCAATTGTTTATCAATCAACATAGGTTAACATGCATGATTTTCCTCCGGACTAGCTTAGATTATATATGAAAACTTAATAGACTAGACGTTGAAATTGTTAAAATATTGGTAAAAAACACCCTAATCAGTGAAAAAAAAACAAATATGTTGTCAAATACAGTTTTTGTTATTTTTATTGAGTTCAGTTCTTGGTAATGATCTTCATGACTGGTACTGAAAGTTTGGGAACTGTTGACAGCCTCGGTTTGAGTCCGACGGTGCTAAAACAGTGAACATGGTTTATAGTAAAGACACGGACACTTACTTCTATTGAATTGTTATTGAATTTATATTATCGGATTAGAAATTTTCAAATGGCGCAGCCCACAAAAAACGGGCTTGGGCGAGGAAGAACCAGCTGGTAATAACGATCCTTTGGCCGCGTGATTGTGTAGATTGCCCGATAATGTGGGAACACTGGTTGAACTGATTCAATTTGGAGTGTTGTCGCAAAACCAGTGTTTCAATCCCATATCGTTTTACTTGGATGAAGGACTAACGGCATCGCAGATCACTGCGGTAGCAGCGGACGCGTTATGGAAACATTGTGTGTAGGCCGAGCAATTGCTGGTCTTGATTTCATACTTGTGACTGTCTGAACGTGTGCAGGACAATTCGCACAACCGGAAACTTAATACGAAACTGGCCACAACCCGCTACTCTCTAATTTTAGACCAAGCTGAGGAATTCTTCAAGAAGGATCAAAACGAATTTGGTTCAGTTAAGACCAAATTCGGTTTACAAAGGACCATATTACAAAATGTTCTGCCAGAAATTATTGCGAAAGTCGAGGCCCTACAAACGACGTATCGGTAAAAACGGCGAATGAACCGACGACAGAAGGGACTTAGACACGGCAAGGACGTTGATACTGAGCAATTCCTGGTGCACGAGGACATCTCATCTCAACACAAAATTTCGGTAGGATGGGTTAGCGACAAACTATCACGATCCCATGGATGGGACTCAATTAGCTTCAATGACAACGTCGTCTTGTCGATTCGCAAAAAGAGGGAAGATTGAGAGCTGAAAGTAGCATTGATGAATGAATGAAATTACCGCTAAAAATTAAGGTAAGCTGATGCAATAAGCGATCGCCCATTTCTATTTTTACAATTGAGGAGCTAAAACAAAATTTGGGTGCAGAGTCAATAAAGTTGTTACCTTTGGGGCCAAACGAACATAGATTTAGAAATTTTGGCAATAACCCGCTAAAATTGACGGAGAAGATGGAAGTGATGCTATATTTGAATCTATGGTCGACCGAGGCTGACTTCACTGTGATTGGGGGGGGGGTGCAGACCGTTCATTATCGGGCGGGATCCGATATCGCTACTGGGACTGCAGCTGGTCCAAGCTCCAATGGGATGAGTGCTGAATTTTCAAGGGTCCACAGAGCAAGCTAGGGTATCCAAGATAGGCTGAATTGGGAATTATAAAATGAAGGCGCACTTCTTCAAGAAAATTAAGCCAAAGAACAAAAATGGAGGAGTGTGCTTTAAGCTCCACGATAGGTTCATAAGAAAATCGATAGACTCTGCAAATTCACATTGCGAAACTTAATGAATGTTCGGACAAAAATTTTTTATCGCCAAACTTACGGTCAAGAAAGAAGATCAGTTAATCTAGCGCTCGAGTTATGAAAATTGCAGAAACAAGAGCATAAAAATAAATATTAGATGCCTAATTTTGAAGAACTATTTGATAATGCAGGGCAAAAAATCAGCAAAAAGTATGCGGTATGGCTATACTTTACGATAGTGGATTTTAAATACGGGCAACTACCGTTAAGTACCGAAATAATTAATCACCGCATTTTTTCTTTGGTAAAAGGAATATCCACCGACACTTAGCGATTTCAAACTGGTTTGCACGGCCTAACTACGAAGCCGCGGAAATCTAAAGGGTGATGGAATCCATACTAAGCGTACTCCCTCACGCCCATGCGTTCATAGATGTCATTTTAATCCTTTCAAAAAGGTCCGGAAATTAGCATATTGCCATGGTCAAGAAGTTTTAAAAAAAACTGGATTGCAAAAATATAGCACTTTAATTGTCCAAATCCTTGTTTGAATGGCTCGGCGAAAAAATATCAGAATCGATTATAGCTCCATTCATTAGAATAACGGAACGGATCAAAAAAAACTCCAACCAACTTAAACGTTCTCTTACTTATAATCAGTTATTGGATCAATCCATAGCTTGCAAAAGTACTTTCGCTGGAAGAAACCTCGGCGTCCTTCCAAATGCTGCTTAGTAAGAATTTTTTTAAAATGGGTTGGGTGCAGTTTTAGAGGAACTAGGGCTTGAGGGCTGGCGACAGAGGTTGTTTGCATCATGATTCCTACACGCGGCGGAGAGGAATTGTTCAACAAAGTAATTAGAAAAGTTGTCAGATGTGTGATGGGCAGAAATATCACATATTGAATAGTTTATATTAAAGAGTAGTTTCATCAAATGGGAAACATAAGAGGAATGAAAGGATATTTAGCCGTTTAGCCTGGTTGAAGGACCGGATTTTTTTTCCACCTCATAATCGAACGTACGCCGAGAGCAAAAATTTAAATAGTCTCAAGGCATCCGGTAGTGGAAGCGCATGGTGTTAGTAGATATGATAGTACAATTACGATGGCAAAATCAAACTTAAAAAAACGGGTCCCTTGGCTATAAATTCTCAAAGAGCGGATAGAAAAAAATCTCAAGGCGGAGTATGGATGTTTTCAACCGAAGTCCAGTATGATATTACAAGCTAGAATTACAGTCGGATGAGGGCGTGAGTGCATGCCGTGAAACGCCAGCCTGCCAGAAGTAGCAAAATTGCATATCAAGGGACAAAACTCGGAAAAGCGCAAAAGCAGTTGGAGTAATTAATGAAAGCAAAATGAGTAAGTCAGTTCAAATTTCCTTCAATTTCAAAACTATGGATAACTTTGTCAAACAGTGGAACAAATATTTCTCGCGCTACCCAGAAATTGTCACAAGAGGCAGTAAATCAGAAATCGAAGTCAGTAACAAAAACCTCGAGGCTAGAACCAAAGGAATTAGAGAATTATTTCCATCCCATCGCACTTCAAAAATGAGAAACATACCCGCCTGCTTTCCCAAAAAAACGTCATAAAAGTGTCATCCCTCGTTAATTTCAAAATCACACTACTTGTCAAAAATGGTTTGGGTACAATTTTTGAACCTAAGGAGCCAAACGAATGTCTCCAATTTAATTTCTGGGGACCAATTAATTTTTATAGAAATTGGGCAGGTATGGCATCGTCGAAAATTGAAACAAAACGGATAAACTGCTTAAATTCTTCTTCAAGTTTATAAGCATCATGGGGTGTTTGGAAAATTTACAAGAATTTAGAGTCTAGTTTCACTCAAAGGCAATAAGAGGTTTAAGCAATGCCGAGGGCATCAAAACGATTTACTAATGTGTTGAAGATACAATAGGGAGCCTGAAAAACATAGGAGCAAAGGAGAAAAAGCATAGAAACTTAGAAGATATGGTGAAACCCGCCCTCGGAGCTTAAAAATTTGCACCAAACGCCTCATTTAAATTGTCGCTTATTAGAAAATTTAAGAGAAGCCCGTACAATGCTACGAAGCGTGACTATAAAACCTTTGCTTCAAAATCTTAAATGGGACAATGTAATTCGACAAAAGTCTGCGTGAGAAAACAAGATTGATCCTCCGGCACAAAAGATTCTGCATACCATTAAGACCAACTGGAACCCAAGATCTGACGTGGACAAAGATCAGGAAATTGTTAATCACTCTCTGCGGTTAACCGAGAACACAGTCAACCGGGATGGAGTTCCCGCGTAAACAGCTGAAGTGGCCACGGAGACAGCGAGATAAATAAAAACCAAGGCAAAATGGCGGGCAATCTGCAGATCGAAACTGCGGGTCTGTGTTTAGAATAACGGGTCTGTGTTAAGAAAAAATTGAGCCGTAAAAAAGCGAAAATCAATACCCATTAATGGGTTTTCTCAACTTGTCCTGCCTACAAGGTACGAGCTACGAAAGAACGGGTCTGTGTTTAGAAAGAAGGTAGTTGCAAAAAACGAAATTCATAATCCAAGAACGGGTTTTGTTTTCTCAGAAAGACCCCAGCCTGCCTAAAAGAGCCGAACTACGAAAAAGTATACAGGCAGAGTTCAAACGTAATCCTGCAAAAGACAGAGTGACGATAAGCAGCGGTGAACGTCGATAGAAAACTTTGGAGGACAAAAATCGGATTCCGCATCCGATTTCAAGACGGCGTTGCTGCCTTGCGGAGTTGAAGCGCGAGAAAAGGCCAAGGAGAGTGGACGGGGGACCAGCGGAGCAAAATCTTTAAGCGGCGAGACAACGACTTCGATGGAAGCGCGGTAACACCGAGGGATACGAGCGGAAACGACCGAGGGAGAAAAGGTCTAGAAACCCATCGGTAGTAGTCTGGCAATTGGCCTCGGATCGCGACGATGAAGAAAAACCACGGGCGAGC